TTTATTCATTACTTTAATAGGGACATAATTCAAAAAACACTTGGATCAAGTAGCCTAAATTGCAAAAAACCTTTGTAAGTGGTTTATTTTTAACCTTATATTTTTAAAAAAAACTTTTTTAATAGTGAGGGACATTTGAATTATGTCCTCGCCTTTAATTTAGGGACCCATCTTTAATCCTTACTAATAAGTACTACTCCCAGTTCTCCTCTTCATACTTTCTTTTTATACATTTCCAATTAGAAATAGAATCTTTCATATAATAATAACACTAATGAGACTTTAATATATTAGTCTTGATATATATAGATTTCTAAATTTATAGTCAATAGTAACAAGTTAACATAGAGATAAAATCTGATATAGTTTAGCAATATTTATAATAGTTCATAGGTGGTTTTTTCCTGTAATATATAATGTAAATTATATATAAATTAAATAAAAAGAATACATAGGCAAGGTTCAGCTAGTCGAGTTAAAAAAAATTTTTTTTATTAATTATATATTTTATTAAATATATTAATCAGATATTAGATGGAATTAAGCCATTAGCTAATAAAGTTTTGGCTAATTTAATAAAAAATTATTATCCAAAATGGTATCAAAAATGTATTTCTATACAATATTCAAAAAAGGTATTTTTAATTATATATATATATATTATATTTATTAATAATACTGTAATTACAAAAAAAAAACTCTTTCCCATATATAACATTTTTCTTAAAAATTTCCTTTGATAGTAATTTTTTTCAAAATTAAAAAAACAAATATTTTTTTGTCTTTCAATACTCAAAAGTCCTTTATATCTCTCTTATCTTCACTACAAGAACCTCAAAAAAATCAAAAAAACATACTGGTGCATTGGAATAGGACCTCTGGTCAAGGGAAAACAAGTTTGGGGAGCTTGTTTTTTTTTTTGAATTGCATGAGGGAAGATTCATGGCAGTTGCTTCTTTATAAATCTTTCTTGAGGTTCTTCCTATTTTCACTTCTTATTAATATATATTTCTTATTAAATAAACAAATTTTCTACTTGGATAGTTTCTCTTTTATTTAAAAAATTAAACTCTACTTCAAAATTGTATATGTTGTTGATTTGAAGCACCAGCAATATTTACAATATCTACTTCTTAACATTACTCAGTACATATTGCTGTGCCACAAAAAATCAAAAATTTTTATTCAAAAAATTTTTTATCAAAAAACTGCAATCAGCTTACTCCTATCAATTGATTATTATTTCAAATTCAATTAATCAAATACTATTAAAATTCAAAACAAACTCATACCACCAATACACTATATAACAATTAACATAAACAAAATCACTTTTAATAATAATAATCAAAACAAAATTACACTACCAACAATTAAATCAATTATTACATTAGCTACTAAATATACTAACACAACAACAACTACTACTATAATAACAAACAACATAATATATATTTTATTATCTATGATAACCAAAGAGCTAGAGAGATGAAACTACGAGCTTGTCTGGGAGTTCTCTTGGAGAAATAATTGGTTTTCTATCTATAGATTTTATAGTGTATTTGATTTAATTTTAGTCTTAGTAATGTTTAAAAAAATCACACTACTATTAATCAAACCAATCATTATATCAATCACCAAATATATCAACACAATAACAACAACTACTACTATTATAACAGTAAACAACATCACATATACTTTATTGTCTATAGTAATCAAAGAGCTGGAAAGATGGGACTATGAGCCTGTCTGAAGATTCTCTTGGGAAAATAATTGGTTTTCTACTTTATATATGTTGCTGAAATTCATAGATTCTTGACACAATTGATATAATTATTTGACACAATTAATTAAGTCACTATTAAAACATATAAATAATTGAGTCATGATGCAATTATTTTTGAGGATTTTGGGAATTGAGTCAATAGCAAAATAATTTATGCCACATGTATAGTTCTGAGGGTATGCATTTAGAGAGGATTCACTGTATATAATCTTAGTGATTCTTTCAGAAGATTATATAAAATAATAAAATAAAATAAAACAAGATAATAAATAAATTATAATGTTAATTAAATATATTAATAATATTTTATAACTCCTTAATATTAATCACTAATTGATAACACATATTAATTAGTAAAATTATGTTGGATTAATAATTATTATAAGTTTCAAGTTTCACATTTTTGAGATTGGCAGATGACATATGACTTTGGATATACTATATGTTTTAGTTTAATTATTAGTATTTTTTGGTCAAAAGTCTAAATCCTTGATTATTGAGAAACAAGTATTAACAATATCTTTTTGATTATTAATAAAAGATATTCCTCTTATCAAAATATTCATAATCTCTTAAGATTGTTTAAGAGGTTGTCATCTGACTTTTCAAAGAAAAATTGTGATTTTTGCCAAATATTTATAGATTAGTTACAAGATGTTTAAATAAATACATAGTCAGATAAATAGTAGTTAATATAGCTAGTCTAATAGAAATATAAGTATTAAGCAGTATTAATCTGCAAATTAGTTGTAGATATATAAAGAGTATCCATTGTATCAATCAATTTTTAATTAATTTGTAAAGACATTTGATATCTATCTGAATATATAAATATATCAATAAAAATCACATGCCATATATATGTTTCACTATAATATATATATATATAAAGTTTTATCTTAATTAAATTATTATTTATGAAATTATAATAAAAAATATCAGTTCAATTATTTTTGTTTCACATTGTATTTTATCTTAATTAATTATAATTGATTAATTATTAAATTATTAATAAAAAATTTTTAATTTTAAGCAATTGTTTTTTCCAGACTGCAATTCTATTAATATTAAAAACATATTATTTTAACTTATCAATAAATTTATTTTTAATATTAATTCAATAAAAAATTTTTTCATAATATAATTTTTTACAAATAAAAAAAAATAATAATTAATTTTCAAATTACTATAAAAAATCAAAAATTAATAAAAAATAATGCAAACTTTTATAGCTAGTATTACAATTTATTAAAGTATGCATTGCTTATTATGATTTAAGTTCAAATGCAAAATCCTTTACGGTTTTGGATGTCTTTAGACTTTTCGCACCATAGTAAGTATAAAAGCATAATAATAAGTTGACTTCGATAATACGATGACTTATTTTCCGCAATCATATGGAGTTGCACTATGTCATGCATATAATTTTACTCGTTTATCAATCGAATATATCGGGCACATAAAATCCATTTTGGGTAAGTGGGATCTATTAGGGTGTATTACAAACATGATTTAAATTTCCTGGTCCAAGATAAGGTGTACGAATTCGATTTTTTTGAGCGACATGAAATAGAAAATGTTATGAACTCTCGGAAAAACAACAGAACCCATTATCATCGTTATTGAAGGAATATCTGTGATCCATATATTTACATTTTTGTAACACTAATTACATTTATACAGCAATGCTATAAACGAATTTAATCACATTAATATCCTCTTTGGAAGTATATGATCGTATAAAAATAAGTTCAGTTTTTTAAAAAATCAATCCGTGGAATCATTCCCTCCCCTACCACGACCTCTCCCCCTTCCTCTTCCTCTTCCCTTATTCCTTTCTCTTGATATTTTTGGTAAAAATTCTGCAAATGTCACAGCTTTTGGCCGTTCTGGTGTAACACCAGTTGGATACTTGGTTTTAGGCTTTGCGATACGTCGTTGTCCTTCCTTTTTAAACTTCTCAAACATCTTAACCTCCTTAAGAACATTATATCGTAAACATAAGAGTGTTCGGATAAGTCGAGGTACATGTTCTAAGTTATCAGTAGAAGTTGAGATGACGAGAGCTGGAATCGTAAATGGTGAGAACAAGTACAATCCAGGCCCAATAAATATCATTTGACCAATTTCCACATTATCACCTGAGAATAAGTAATCTATATTATATACTAAAACATAGAAATGTTTGCGAGCATAAAAACATTTTTGAAATTTTACCAAATCCTTGAGCCAAGAAAATCTTCAATGTACTACATACTTCCCACGTTGGCAGTCCCGTTTTTGTCATAAACTTATTGATGGCAAAGACTCCCTCGTTCATCAACTTCTCCCTATCTTCATTAATTTTATCTGGGTCCGGATTATTGGGGCCTTCCGATACCTCGAGCAAAAACAATGGAATTTGCATGGGTCGCTCAAAAAACTCCAGTACACCATCAGCTTTAAAATTATTTTCTTGAACATCCATTTTTGTAGAAATAGTTCGCTCACATGAAAAATAATATAATGAGTCGATAAAACAAAAGGTAACAAAAAACAGATATGCTAATACGTGCGCTGTCCATGTACGCTCAGGGGTGTTTTTCATAGCACCATTCATCCTTGTGATATTATCAAGATGACTTGAGACATTCTTAACAATAAACATATCAGGCATTTTAGATTGATTGTAATATTGTGCTGATATAGGTAAAGTGTTGGATAGGTAGTGATATTTTTCGGATAAGCCATCCAATTGATGCACTATTTCCTTCATTTTAGCAATTGTTTTGTTAAACTTTTCGTTGTCTCCTTCCACACTTTTCGTCTCTTCATTATTTTCATCTACAAGATCATTTCCAGCTATTTCATCCACAAATACGTCATCAAAAATATCTTCCAAGTTCTCATCCTCTATAATCTGATCAAACAGCTCTATATATTTATGTGTCTTTTCATCTATGTGCATATCCTCATCATCCAACACTAATCTCTTAAACAACGATTTCAACTCATCCTCATCTAAAAGTTTATGAACATTATACAATGTATCTTTATCCCCTAAATCGATAACATGATAGTTTGTAGCATCTTTCTTGTCCCAGATAGATTTGAGTTTACTATAATATGACGGAAATTCAACTTGACCGAAAGTGTTGGAGGCATCGATCACTGAATTCGCCAAATCATCAACTGTAATACCTTTTTCATCTTCTTGCTGTGTGTTGCACGCACGTTTTTTCGACAGAAAAGGTGAGGTAGATCGTTGAACTTTCTCTTTCATATCCGACGCAATATTTTCATCAAAAATTCCCGACATCATTTTCGGATCTCTTATTGTGGATGGGCCTTCATTCGAGAACATTCTATTGGAGGTTCTAATCTATGCATCCAAAGGGTAGTCAAAGGGTCAGCAGATGTTTTAACTAATTAAATTTTAAGTTATATACTGACCTTATTTGGTGGGGTTGAGAATCCTTCCTCATTTTGTTTATGTCTCGAGAACTCGGAATGTAATCGCTTGCGAGCAATCTTGAGCGATAAGGAAAGAGATATAAATATGTAAGTAAAACAAAATACAATTTCTGTAATCTACGTTAAGATGATATCAGCAAACCTCGGCTTCTTCTATTGTTTCATCGGCCATGTTCTCCATCATATCTTGTGTCTTACTTCTTATATTGACATGGCATCGTATCTATTTGCATACCAGTTAGTTAGAAAAAGCTCAAAAAATTATTCAGAAGGGAAAACTTACTGTTCGCGTAGCTCTCTCTGACTCTAGACGTTGTTGTTCGATTCTATTCCAGAAGTAATTAATATCCTCATTGCGCAATCGATGTTTCTAACAAAAAATGGAGGAATACGTTAATAAGTTTATGATAGAACGCTAGTTGATTTGGTTGATGCAAGCAGATAATAACAGACAAGTAGACCATAAGATGGCAACCAATAGATGCCCAACGTAGTTATGTGAGTTTTACCCTTCTCGGGACTGCTGGAAGACTCCCATACTGCCTATGGCAGACTACAACGGACAAGTAGACCATAAGATGGGTAACAAGTAGATGCCCACCGTAGTTGTGAGAGTTTTTACGACTGCTGGAAGACTTCCATACTGCCTATGGCAGATCACAACGGACAAGTAGACCATAAGATGGGTAACAAGTAGATGCCCACCGTAGTTGTGAGAGTTTTTACGACTGCTGGA